ATAAAGCTCGAAAAGCATTGTCCTTTCTTGTGGTTTTTGTGTTCTTTAGCGCTACATCAAACATCATCCTTATCACAAAATTCATTCTATTTCAAATTCCAATTCAAGACGATTCTGAACCTTCAGATCGTCCGTTGGGACAAATCAAGGTTGCCGCCATATTTCTACAGAGAATAATTGTAGGTATTCAGCTGCCTTTCGATGTATCCTATAATCCATGTGACCGTTTTGCCATGGAACCAGTTTCTTATCAGTGATACTATTGTTGTTTGGAGAGCTTGGGTCTTGTTCCCAAAATCTTATTCTGTAAGAATTTCTCTATCAGTCTGCATGTTGGCTTGTTGTAGTAAGTGACTGGGGAGCAATTGGAAGCCTTTACCCTCATGCTAATTTGAGATTCAGCTGGAACATTTATAGAGTTTGGGGTTTGGGCCTCAGGAGTGCTCACCAATACAAGCCGTGGTTGTTCAGCACAATTCTCCTTGATATTTACAATACCACTTCTCGTAACAAATGCTCTGGCAGCTTCAATGTTTGGCTACAAGGCTTGGTGCTCATTTTCATTTTTCTTTCTTCACGAGTAAAATCCTGATTCAGCCGGATTGTTTTTTGCAGGGAATACAGGAAAACAGTGAGGATAGCTTCGAGCGATTCCTCAGAGCGTATCTACAAGATTCTTTTATTTTTGGTTGAGTCTGGGGCGGTTTATTGTGTACTTTGGGTAGCATCCTTTCTGGCATTGCGGGAGAACCTCCTTCTGACATAATTAAACAGGCAGTATTCACAATACTTTTGATGGTCGAGAGTACTAGGGACAGTTTAACCGTTCAATTGTACCTGTGTGCTATGCCTTTGGTAGCCGTGAGTCTTCAAGTTCTTACCATGCTCTATTAATGGGTTAACGAGGATGCTCAGGCTGTACATCCAATACTTGTGATTTTGGTTTTAGGGGAAAAATCCTCGAAAAACTCCGAAAGAGACTCATCTCCGTCAATAAGGTTCGCCTCGGCATCTTCAAATTCTAGGATGATCACACGCTCTCCGACCTTGAAAACAATGCCAGTATCTGACAAGAGTAAACAATATTCAGATGTCTCTGGCAGTAACATATGGCCAAATAAAACGAGCAAAGCGTATCATTTCGAGCTCAATTCTGAAGATTAGTCGAGATTGATTCAGGCTTTAGTGTATTATATTGGCCTGTGATTTTTCTTTGCATTCTAGCCCTAGGAGTGGCAACTTTTTCCTATGGAGTCTGTGTTTTCTCTAGAGGTTTTAATGTCTCCCTGCCTAGGCCTTTGAGCTTTGCATTGTATTCAATATCTTACACATATCTCAATAATCAGTTTTTGACTGGTCTTTTTTATAAGTAGCCTCTGCGAGTTACTTACAAGCGGACCTTTAAGCTTTCTCTCGTGGCGGTACCGACCGCTTCGTAATCCCCCGAGTCTCGATACTCGCAACCATTGACTTAAAAACTTTGTACAGTTTTGCAGATGATGAGCAAAGCAACTTTCGAGCACGCAAAAGCAATGGACGACATAGATCTGCTGTTCTTTTGGAATACTAGTAATAAATAATAGCATCCTTCCGTTATTTACTTATCGAGTAACGCAGAAGGCTGTTGTACCAACTCGAATTCAAACTGATCGTTCTTACCAACTGCCGGGTATTCCGAGTCTGTCGACATGCTATTGAGGTCCAAAAGTAACCAGAAGCGCGTAAAGAAAGCTTTGAAAGCTTTATATTGAGCTCTGCGGAGCCGGAGGTGAAGAAATGCTTCAGAACGCATTATATAAGGTTACGCCAGTCAGTTCAATTTTAACTTCCACATCCTCATTCCCAGCGTTCGGTTTTTCAATGTTCTGCGTCGAATCAGATTTCCAAATTCCTTCAGTCCGAGTCCGAGGTAGCAGGGACTAGAGGCGTTAGAAGATAGTCCCGGAGTATAATCTTGGTGAAATAGAACCAATCTTAGACTCATAGGTTTGTACTATGTTTACAATTCACCGGATGGAAAGCTTGAGTGAATGTGGTAGACTGATACACGGTCTTGAGAGGATTCATTCTGTCTGATCGGTTACCGAATAGATATCATCCTCTACCTATGTGTAGACAGAGAAACAATGATCACAAGTATGTACAATGAATGCTAGGACAACTAAATGACGGCAGTGGTAGGAATACAAAAGATTGTGAGCTGGCAAAGAAAAGAAAAGATTGATGTAAGTTGTACTATGTACGCGAACCAAAGCCAAGACAATAAACGACCGAGCAAGTTTGTAAAGTATATGCGCAGAAAACTAAGATAAAATAAAGATATAGTACCGATGATGTGTGCAACAATGAACAGATATGGCAAAAGATGAAGCGTAATACAATGGTGAAAGCAACTATGAAAAAGGTAGAGATCGGAGTGGGATAGTGAAACACAAACAGTAATATGGACAAGAGAACGGATAAAGATTAGATATTTTGGTAAACAAAGGAAAGGTAAAGGTGATCAGAATTAAAAGTAAAGAACACCCCCGAGTCTTTTTATTCCGCTGAGTAAAAAGGAACAGTGTAATTCACCATTCCAGAGGGAATGTCCTCCCACGTCCCAGTTCTCGCTCAACGTCACTATAGCTCCGAATCGGGTCCGGCGTGGCAGGCAAAACATAGACTTCCACCTCTTGTTCACACTTCTTCGAACTGGACATTCTATGTTCTTGTGCCGAAACGTCGAGTCCCTTCTCTTCTGCTAAACCCGCTGACAGGTGACGTCCCTTCAATCCGGCTTCTACATCACGTCCTCTCTCCGTAGAGTCATCATTCCATCGAAAATCGGAGCTCGGTACATGAGAGACGATTCCAGAGGGTTGGTTGATCACGTATCGCATTGAGAACGTGCGCGGTGATTCTGATCGATGCTGATCCTCATGTATGGTAGTAACTTTGCTCGAAGCAGAAGCAGAAGTAGACGCAAAGTCGAAACGTGAACTGTCACTTGCGGAATGGAGAGCACGGACACGACGGCGCCAAATAATGAAGGCGGCGATAAGGACAAGTACTGTAAACAAAGGTGTATAACGAGTTAGCGGTAGAGGTGGCAAACTAGCGTGTACAGCGGATGGACCAACGACTGACCTACTATACCGGCTGCAACGATCCCGATGATTATAGGAGTGCTAACTTTTACACTTGTACGGGCCCGAGTAGTACATGAGACGATCTCGTTGGCGGAAGAGCTATGGAGGGCAAGTAGAAAAGTCAGTAATTCGGTATACTTGGCAGTTCTATCCACGATGATAGATCCGACTCACCCTTGATTACACATACCGCCAACATTGGGATCCGAAGTACCATTTCCTCCATTTGAGGGTACTTCCGCCCAGGCAGAGTCGAGGGAGAAACCAAGGACAACGACAAAAAACAAACCCATGTGAGGGACGGCAGAGAGCGATCGCGTCATGATGAACACAGACACGAAACGAGCAACAGGCAAACAATCCAAGGAGGGGACAGGTCAGCCAGTGGACCAAGTTGTTGGAAGGTGAAAGGAAAGGTTTCGTAGATTGTTTGGCCTAATATACCAGTTAGACCTCGAGCAGATGATTGACGTCGAACGTCAAAGGGAATGGCAAGTTGGGCGAAGGAGAATCAACCCGTGCCTCCAGGAAACTAGAAGTCGCTCTTGTAATTAAACATCTTGTTCCAATCAGGTTACGTCGTTCCAATTCTTTGGACAGGCGTTTGCGCAAGATAAGGCTTACTTATTTATGGTAAGACTGTATTGACTTAAGCTTTCCACGTCGGAGGCGTTCCTCGATTCTATTCAGCCGCAGTTGTTGGGACGTGATTGTCAAATTGGGGTTTTCCGCTAGTCTCTATAGTCTCCATCTAATGCAGGCTTTGCAACATGCATTCGTAACGAGTACCGTTGTCTAGAGTGATACATATCGATGTGGGCAGTGGGGGACAATAGGCCCACTATGTATCCGGAAAGGTCATAAGGACAAATTGGTGTTTCTTTGATGTCGAGACCTCGGACTCGGAGCGTCGATAGAAGGAAGGTACGTAAGTAGGTCACCAGATCAAACAAAGAGGACTGTCAGGGACTGTCTCTCTATGATGTCCTGGGGCAAATGAGGGCAAATGGAGCACCCCAGGGAAGTATGCGCAAAAAGGATCTGGAAAAAAAGTCCACCTAGAAGCCGAGGTCACCGAAGCAAAGCAATCACAATAGCGCTTGGACAGGAATACGACGCCTTCGTTGCTATAACGCTCCGCTATACTCTTTGAGAATCTCTGTGAAATAGCCAATTAGAATAGAGGCAACGCCACTGTACTGTCAGGCATGTCAAGACCGCCGAGTCACCATAATTTTACTCTGTGAAAGGGAGTCTCGACACGGCCAGTACTTTTGATGGCCCGGATCAATGAGATTTGAAGTTGATTTTCATCGAGTAGGACGTTGAAAACTTGGCCCTTAGCCCTTAGGGCTCCAGCAAACAAGTAGACACGCGTTTACTTGCAACGGGACCCATTTTGCCAAATGTTTTCGATCAAGTTGTGTTGGTGTTACCGCCAGCACTGGATCCAAGATTGAATTCCGCCACCTCTACTGCGAAGCAGGCTCTTAAGTAGCTTGAGTTACAATAATCAGAATACTAGAAGACTGCCATTTTTGAATCGAGAACCCTACTGTGAACGATGACAGAGGCGGCACCGCGGCGGTAGTTGACTGAAGTAAAAGGTTCGACTGTTGACTAGAAAGGTCGGTGCCGAAAGTTTGACAAGAGTTGCCTCAAAGGAAGAGGCTCTTCGAAAGCCTACAGTCTCGAGAGCTTGAGCCCGGAAATGAAGAGTGTATGTATTATGTCATTTGAAGGTGAAAGTCATGTGTCCATGTCAGACGCGACAATGACGCGTCGTACCCTATAGGCTACCTCCTCACCGACCAAGTACATTTGTTGGACAGCGGCTCACAAAAAAAGAATAGAAGTCAGGAAACTGTAAGGTCCTGCCAGGAGTCGAACCTGGGTCATGGGAAGGATCTCATCGGAATCCCATATGATAACCGCTATACTACGACCACTGAGTACACAATTGTGTAACCTACGAAACCAGCAGCCACATTCCAGGTATCCGGTGAGAATCTCTTATAATCACCTTGAGTTTTCTTTCACAAAATGACGCTAACAAATCCGTATCTACTCCAAGACTTCTCAGAGATCCTAGAGGCGAGGGTCATGGTACTTGCTCCCGAAGTACAACCTGGTACAACAGCCACCGCATTATTTCCACGAGATTCCCGCAAAACTTCTGTGCATCTCGAAGCTCGAAGACTCAAATTCCAAGTTTTGTGCTGCGGGCAGCCTCGTGATGTCACTTTGTGAGAGTCGTTGCTTTGATTGGTTCGGCGTACAACCGCTCACCTCCATGCATCAATCCGGCTTTACTGCCCTGGGGGAACGCCCTTCCCGTCTCATTTAAACTGACCTTATATAGACAAGATGCTGTGAACGTATCGGCATCTTTCGACAAGGTAAGCGAATTCATGCCAAGCTTTCAATCAAAACATCGCTCACAGGAAGCAGCTCCACGTCCTCGATGCGTTTCTAGTTTCACCTTCCTTATATCCCAACTTTTCGTTCACGAACCATTTTTTTTCCAACTACTATGCGCTCTCTCAACTCATTAGTCTCCCTTTCCGCCTCATTAGCATTCTTGAATATAGGAAATGCTCTCGCCAATCCCGCCAGGTTAACAGCTTTGAGAGCTCGGGACGCCTTCACGTCGTTCTCGGATAATAGCATCAATGAGGGCGAGGTGAGTGCCACGCATTTGGAGTTGTACCGCACCTTGACGCATGCGGGCACGACCCATAGGCTCATGGCCCGCTCAATGCCCCCGACGGTTCCCAAATCAAAAGTATTTCTATTGGTGATACTGGAACGACTGTGCCCGTATACTGGTCGACGTCGGATGGACAAGACCAGGCGACTCAGGCCTTCATTGTTATACACGGTGCGTTTCATGGTGGCGCTCTGTGATCAATACTCCCGAGACTGACAACGAGTAACCAATTACATTCCTTCCTATGATATTGTATTGTCGGGATACGCATCTCTGTCCATTCTTCCATCGCGCTCGAAATTCCCGATGATATACTGGACCTCATAATCGCAACGCGCACTTACTTGGAATGCATCATGCATCTTCAGGCAAACTTCGGGATGGTGACAACTACTGGAACATCATGAGCAAAGCTCTTCAATCGGCGGTTAGCGATAATTATCCTGGTGTCGATAGCAAAGCTATCGTTGTAGCTCCACAGTTTTTCTCCGAGAGATTCAATAGTGGGGTAAGTACCGCGATTTTGTTTTTGTAATCTTTATCTTTCGAGACGTTGCTTCTCGTTCTTTTTTTTTTCTTGCTTTGACACGCAATATTGTCTGGATGCTAACTTGTCCCTTCCTGTGTTGCTTTCCTTTGCTCCGAAAACACCATGCTGTTCCAACTTCCTTGCTCCTCATAATTCCAGCAATATTCCGACAGCGACCTAGCCTTTGCTGATGTCAACGCCTGGCAAGCCGGAGACATTGCCACTCATCCTCAAGGCACTAAAGCCACCTCTATTGATGCCATCGACTCTATTATTGATGCATTTGCCAACAAGAACGACTTCCCCTCTATCAAAAACATCACTCTCGTTGGACATGGAGGAGGGGGACAGCTCACAGCACGTTATGCAGCAGTAGGTATTGATCCACCTGACGGCGTCAATCTGAGGTACATTGTCGGCGACCCGAGTACAAACGCCTACTTCACAACGCATCGCCCGGTGGAGACAACCCAGAACAACTTTAATAACAGCTGCGACTTTAGGAATGCATGGAGATATGGATTCGAGTGAGTAAAAAGTTTCTTTTCGGGTCTCCGAGGAGACTGCGTTCCGTTTCTAAATATATTAATCACTTTTTCTCTCATACAGTAACTTCCCCGGAACAACTCACGTCCCAGCCCAATCTCCTTTCACCTACTTTGCTTCTTATATCAACCGAGACATCGTGTTTCTCATTGCCAATAACGATACTGACGCCAACGGGGATCAATATTGCCCCGCGCTTCTCCAAGGTGGTCAGGCGCGAAGAGATAGGTCACTAGCGTGGTGGACATACATCAACACTCTCGCACGTACAGACGAACCTGTCCAACTCTTCGCCGACCTTGTTCCTGAATTCCAAAAGAACAAGAACCTACCCAACTGGTCCAATGTTACACGCTCAGGAGGTATCGCGCCGAAAATGATCGTGGTGGAAGGTGCAGCGCATGATCCGAGTGAGGTCCTTGGAAGTTTGGAAGGAAGGGCGGCGTTGTGGAATGCGATGAGCGATATGCCGTTGGGTTTTAGGCCTGATGGTTGGAACCAGACTACGGGGGACTGTTCGTTCTGTGATTCGGATACTGAGAATAGGGGAGGGTCTGTTGACCCACGGAATGTGAACGACAGTAATGGAGGAAGTGGGGGTTCTTCTGATCCATCGAACGATGGTAGTGGTGCATTGAGCTTGAATGGACGTGGTACTGGTGTAGTTGTTGTCTTAATGACGGTGCTTTCGTTTGCTGTAATGCTTTGAGTTTGTGCTGTTACATACTGTGCTTAGGACGGGACACTTATCATACCAGACATTTGCTTTCGTTATTCAGTTTTCGTTAGAAGGAAGCTCTAATGAATTTACCTATTTATTACTTACGCAAATCATCAGTCTAACTTCAATCTAAGTAGTAACTGAGCGAACCGAAAGACTTGAAGTCTTGATATCTAACCGATTGTCGTGGTCCTGTAGTGTAGCGGTTATCACATGGGATTCTGATGAGAGCCTTCCCATGACCCAGGTTCGATTCCTGGCAGGACCTTCGGATTTAAGATTACTTCTTTCAACTTTTTGAAGATATCAGTCGGCAATATTTCTAGGCAGTTCCATACGCGCTTATCACATGTTCATTTCATTTTTCTCTCTTATTCTTTTGAGACCTGCCTACTATCCTGAACAAAGGAAGTCATTTGTCTCAGGTGCCACGCTAGTAGAATCGGCGGTCAATGTTCTCTTGACACAACGCTCTTTATATTTTGACAAGGACTAATAGGGGATTATTTTCATCATGCCTTTGTTTCTAAACCAATTTACAGCTTGGATATCCATTGACGGATGTGTTGCAGACGAGTATGGAGTCAAATTTTCAGCCAAGGACTATGGTGCAAGTGGAAGTTTCGGCAGAAAAAGAGTACCGCAGATAGAATGCTGGATTCCAAGTACCGAGGGCAAGGTGAGCTCTTTTATCACGACTTTCTCTTTGTTTCTTTTCCTCTTCTTTGACATCTCAACGCAGCCATTCGCAATTCATTGGAAGGATTCTAAACGCATTACCGCAACTGACGGGATAGTTTGGGTCGACGGAAAAAAATGCGGTGGCAAAGTACTCAGTCCGGACAAGCCTGAAGCGGATGCGTGTAAGGTGGGATGGAGGATCTCAGCGACGGAAGTGAGGCCGTTTGTTTTTGCAAAAGTCGGGTTGACTGGTGCGTATTTCTTTCACCTCTTCGCTTTCGTCGCTCTTACATGAAACCCTTAGATGACGATAACCTAGCATCTCCTGACGCGGTCCATCCCCACCTGGGCGAGATACGACTCGAAGTATATGAAGCAGCGATCACAATGATGAACACCCAGTTCAATGCTTTGGAGGCCATCCGGGTAGAGAATGGGGATACTACCACTGTTCACGAAAGGACAAAGAAAAACATCGAACATCACACGCGGTGCGCATCTCCTTCCCTACTCGCTCTGCGTTTGCTCATGTATTGAGGTAGACTCGGTACACCTTTATCGTCTGCTCGTCCTGCCGTGCGCGTTACTCGAGATCCAGATAGCCTTCCCGTCGCAAGGTTCTTGTTCAGATACAGGGGTTTGGGTGGGTGCTTTTCCTCGTCCCTAGAGTGATGTTTACCGATTTTCATCTGGGCCTCCTATACGCCTCTTTCATCCTAATTTTATCGCAAACTGCTAAATTTGGGTGTCGCATGGTTGTGAACAACACGCTTTCTCCGTGAATAGAGTTGTTACGTGCCATGGGCTTGGCACCCTCAGCTTCGTTTACACACGAAACAGAAGAGCAAAAACCTCCAGTACCCGCACCCGGTGCTGGTTCGGTTAAGGAGGAAGAGGTCAAAGCCGAGCCCAGGGTCCTTGCATCAAATTCTATAGAGACAACCCCTGCAGCTGGAATCCGAACACCGGAACCTACACCCAAATTGGAAGATGTTTCTATGCACATATTTACAGATACCAAGTCCTCTCCGAGACCGACGGTGACTATTCGTGCTGGTCGGTCTTCCTTACCTTCTTCTTTACCTTCCTCGTCTGTTTCTACTTTCGACCATAAACCTCTGACACCACCACGTTCTCCGACACTTTCCCAACCTCCTTCTCCCTCGATAACGCCGCAGAAACGCAAACGTCCGCCGGAAAGAGGTACGCTGGAAGGCGCGAAGAGAGCTGCGATGAGGCTTAATGAAGCTCTGGGTCTCAAGACTGGTTCCTCGGCGTCAAGTGGTAGTGAGGTGAAAACTGAGGATGCCACGGCTCCTTGCAACATAGAAGTTGCTGATACTCTGAAAGAAGAGCAAGATGTGAAGATGGAAGACGGGAAAGGAACGGACGAGCTCGAGCTCAAGGAGGCTCTACCGCCGCATGTTGCCAAGTCCAAACCTCAACCAGAGATCATCGTGCTTGATTCTGATGACGAGTACGATTATACACCTAAACCCAGTGCCAGCCCTACTCTCTCTCTATCCCAATTTCGGAACATGGGGGTCGGGCATCCGGAATATGGGAACGGGAACAATGATGAAGATGAGATTGAAGAAATCACCGAGGCGAAAGAGATTCGGACACTCCGGGGCAAACTAAATCTCGTCGCTTCTAGGAGGGTAGGGAGGACACGGCTTCGAGACGATCATGTCAAACCTGGAGGTGGTGACCGCAAGCCTCATAAGATTATCGATCTAACATGGGATGATTGATGCACATGCTTCATATTAGATTATCACTTTGGATTAGGACTAGTTCGACAAGAATGCACTTTTTTCAAACCCTGACTATGTAAACCGCTTTGTTCTATACTCCGTATTGCTCGCCTTTACCGTTATCTGCTAACCCTGCAGGTATTCGTTCTCATTAACCCCTCCACATCTGGCAGTGAATGAATAGACAAAGTTACTAGGGTACGAAGGGCTGGATATAAAGGATTCTAATCTTCTAATGAGAGCGTTGGTGAATTGTTTCGAAGCGGGGCCTGCTGTGAGAGTCAATGAACATTCCAGCAGGCCTCGCTTCAACGAACATTCCAAGTCAAATATACAGAAGAAGCAACATGTCCAAATACATGAATGACTGATACATACTATAAATTTTGTCAATCAACGGCGACCCATTGACATGCAAATTGCTGTAGTATATTTCATTCTTTCCGAGTATCCGCCATATATACAGGCACAGGGATGATATTTCCCCAAAATTTTAAACGGATGTAAGTATAATTGCATCGTGACAGATTATCTTTTCGCGTGCAGGTTCGAGTGTTCTTAGATCCTTGTTTCATTCAAAACTCTGACGCCGTAGTTCGCTTTGCCGATACTTATATATGTATGCTCTGAGGGTGAGCAGCCTATTCTTTCCACCTTTGCGGCTTCCAGCGTAGAACCGGACAATTGATGGAATACTTTGCAAGACATGTTGGGTATGTAACCTCGCTCCGAAAGTCATCATCTTTTCTGTTCTGAAAAAATCATGACATGCAGAATCCCTTTGGTAATTTCCTGGGCAACTCTTGTTCTTTTTGCTTATGAGACTAGCGAGGTAGGTAGAGGTTCGAATACCACCTGTCGATTTTTCATCAAATGCCTTCCAGGTAGCGATCTACTTCAGTCGGTACCGTAAAGACTCCCGAATCCTCAAAGCATGGGTTTCCAGTGCCTTCTTGAATGATATTGGCCTTATGTTTTGTATGTTCGCATTCATGTATCAAAACGTCAAAGATCACATTGAAGGTGAACTGAATACAAAGATTTCAATCCGTCCCTCACTTACAAATCATTCTCTAAGATTTACCCCCAAGATTTTGGGGCACGGGCACTAGGTTCATAATTGCTACTACTTGCGTTTCCTAGAATTTACAAGACTCAAAAATTCCGCAGCCTCTCAGTCGGTAATTTCACATCTTTTTCGGGTTGACTATCCTTACATTTTTTGCGATACATAGATGCACTGCGGATATACGGAGTAGCTATAATATTCATAACCAATAATGTCTGCATGGTACAGTTATTTTTGGCCTATCGTTGCTGGCTTCTGTGAGTCTAAGCCTTCTCCCAAAAGTTTTGTAATCGCATGCCTACTTACTCATAAAATTCTCAATTCCCTTTATCAGATGCAGGAGCTGGTATATTGCCATCATACTGGTTCCATCTATCTTTTCAGTAAGCAGTGTAATTTATCTATAAACAGTCGGAATGTCCTTTTCATGGAATATTGCAGTTTATTTTAGGACAGCTAACTGCTATCATTGTATGTATAAGGCCCTGGGAGATGCGTAGCAGCCGTATGGCACTTTGTGAAAGGTAAGGGGATTAATTTTATATAATTTATTGTTTATTAATTGTTATCCTATTTTAGTATAGGACTAGTTGGAAGTGCTTTCACAGACATCTCAATTGCAGTGATATTAGCCATGTTACTCAAGCCAGCATACAGAGATATCTCAAGGAATACTATCAAAAGGTGAGATACCGCAATATTGGCCATATAGGAAGATAATACTAATCTTTGTGTCCTTTTTGAAGGAAAATAAAGATAATAATAATCAACTCAATCAGTACTGGGTCATTAACAATGTCTCTGCACATTCTTGTTATGATCCTATTTATTTTACTGCCTCACAGTAACAGTCAGTACTGCTTTTTTATGATGTTTTCAAATTCCTTTCTTACCTGATCATTAACTTAATGAAGTTCCATTCAGTCTTCCTTTTCTATATGAACATCTCTATGTGATTTCTATGGTAAGTGGTATGCTCATACAGGAAGTTCCTGATTTGAATTATTTTTTCTAATGCGCCACAATATGTAAATGTAGATGTTCAATCTGAACAACCGGCGTTGGGAGTCACAACACATGGATTTAAGTCAAAGCACAACAAGTATCACAACAGCTTTGACTCTAGAGCAGCTACAGTATGATTTGTCAACTATGAACACATCATTGAGCCTGGAAAACCTTGATGATACCACAAGTGTGTACATTGCTTGTTGATTTTGAATTTTGAATGGTTGCTCACGATATCTTACCTATAGCAAACTCTTTGAGGCACAGGGGTGAGCAGAATACTCATGGTAACAACTCAACAGTCATGAGGACTATAACCAATGAATCATTGTGTTGATTCCAATGAATAATATTCGAATTCAACATTCTGTCTTGGCCTAAGGCATAGAAAATGGAAGCCTGGGATCATTAGAGAAAACTGGCCTTGCAAAAATTGGAAATAATGGTGATGGCAGGGATGATACATAGATTTTAATTGCATATTAGTCACCAAATAGAGGTATATTGTCCTCATTGTATATCTGTTACACCTATGATGATACCCACCAACCTGGCATTGTATTGACTTCAAGATAATATTCATGATAATGGACACTCTAATCATGGTTAGTCTTGATACTACAGACTGGCAATACACAAATGGGTGTATGTATGTAATTTGCTTGTACTCATTTCTGATAAAATTTCTTCAGCAATGTAGGTGCTACAATTGCATCTACTGTGTTATCTCACCTCTTTACTTGAAAACAGTTC